AAATTCTCTACACCTGATAAAAACTAAAACTATACAGATCAAGAGGCTCAACCAAAGCTAAAAACAAGAAGCATGAAGAAAACAACAGGCATATCAAACTGATTAAAGCCAGTCAGAGAAAGAAATTCAAGAAAAAAAATAAACAAACACACTATGAACAGAGGAATAATGCAAGTCAGAAGATAGTGAAGCAACATATGTAAAGTATCAAAAGTGAAACAAAAACTATCAATCTAGAATACTACATACAGCAAAAATACCTTTCAAAAATTAAGGTGTCACTAAATAAAAATGAAATTACAACTTACCAAATTTGTGGGTGGCAGCAAAAGCAGTAAAGAGAAATTTGTAACAAAAAATGCAAACTTAGGGGAAAAAAATCTAAATTCAATAATTTAAGCTTCCTGAGGAAAAACCTGAGAAAGAATAACAATTTAAGCCTATAAGCAGAAGAAAAATAAAAATGAGAAGAACCTCATACTTATTATGATGGCCACTATGAAAAAAAAAACACCTTAAAATAACAAGTATTGGCAAGGATGCGGAGAGACTGAAATCCTTGTGCACTGCTGATGGGAATGTAAAATGGTGCAGCCACTATGGATAACAGTCTGGTAGTTCCTCAAAATATTAAAAATAGAATTATCATATGATCCAGCAATTCTACTTCTGGATATACACTGAAAAGAAGTGAAAGCAGGGTCTACAATATTTGTACACTTGTGTTCATAGCAGCATCATTCATGACTGCCAAAAGGTGGAAGCAACCCGTGTCCATCTACAAATAAATGGATAAACAAAATTTCATATATAAACACAATGGAACATTTCCCAGCCTTGAAAAAGAAGGAAATTCTAACATATGCTGCAATATGGATGGATGAACCTTGAGGGAATTATGCTAAGTGAAATAAGCCTTTTGACAAATAAGACAAATACTATACAATTCTACATATATAAGGTACCTAGAGTAGTCAAATTCATAGAGACAGAAAGTAGAAGGGTGGTTGCCAGGGGCTGGGGGAAGAGGAAATGAAGAGTTGTTCTTTAATGGGTATGGAGTTTTATTTTATTTTTGTTTTTATTTTTTTGAGATTTTAAATAATCTCTATGCCCAATGTGGGGCTCGAACTCACAACCCTGAGATCAAGAGTCCCATATTCCACCGACTGAGCCAGCCAGGTGCCCCATAATGGGTATGGAGTTTAGAGTTTCACAAGACGAAAAGAGTTCTGGATCTTCGTTGTAAAACAATGTAATGTGCTTAACACTACTAAACTGTACACTCAGAAATGGTTAAGATGGTAAATCATATGTTATGCATTTTTTTACCACAATAATAAACAAACCTGGCATTTGTTGAAGGCTCACAACATGTCTGTCACTATGTGCTTTAGATTATGTCATTTAAACTTAACAACTTTATAAAGGAAGTATTATTATTATCCTCCATTTTACTGATAGGTTCAAATGTTAAGCAACTCATAAGATGACACAGTTAAAGACAAGAAAATAAACCCAAATATGACTCCAGAGCCTGAGTCCTTAAACAACTTGTTATATTGTCTCTATACTGTCTTTGTTAAATGGTTATTACTTTTATGAAGAAATGTTATCAAAAGAAATATTCATAGGGATGCCTGGGTGGCTCAGCTGGTTAGGTGTCTGCCTTCAGCTCCAGTCATGATCCCAGGGTCCTGGGATGGAGTCCTGCAATGGGCTCCTTGCCCAGCAGGGAGCCTGCTTCTCCCTCTGCCTGCTGCTCTCCCTGCTTGTGTTCACTCTCTATTTCTCTCTCTCGCTGACAAAATCTTTTTTCCCCCCCCCCAAAAAAAAAAAGTTCATAATACATATGGGGGAGGAGTTTCCCAGCTAAAGCAGTTGATGTTTTGACGAAAGAGCATGGTACTTTTCAAGATTCCATATATAATGAAACAATTCCATGTTTATATTCCAAACAATTTTAAGTATTTCATTAGATGCTGATTATTCTGCAACAATACCTCCATTAACACATACCATCAATACTTTACAATCATCTATTTAGAGTATTTTTTTTTTGGTGGTCCTATAAAATATACAAGGTTGTTTTAACCCAATGTCCCTGTTTTTAACAATTTTCAACAACCCCTTCTTTAAATTTTCCATTTAATTTTCTAAATAATTACACTAGGTACCAAAAATTGTTAAATGCAAAATAGTCAGTTATACATTCTTCTCATTAGACAGTTTTACTCAAATGTCCTAAAACAATATGAAAATGACACAGGTTAAAAAAAAAAATTCTACTCAAAAAGGTTAAAACAGGTGTTCTCTTTTTTATTAAAAAAAATCTATTATGTGGGTATAAGAGCTTATTTTTCATTCAGAGATATAATGAAATAGGCCATTCTAAAGGCCTACACAAATTCCACAGTACCAATTAAGGCAAAAGAAGACTATCCTCCCTATTTGTCACCATCTATTAACAACCCTACTGTATGAGATGCAGTGTAGCCTACCCAAAGAATGTGGAGACATAAGGCAGAATCCCAGTTTCCTCATCACTAAGATAAAAAATAACAGTAGCTATTTCAAAGGGCTTTAGGGAGAAGCAGAGGGATTAATATATATACAACCACCAGAGACAACAGGTATGTTTGCTGCTATCCTTATTGTCATCTTTGTTGTCATCATTACCATCTTCCAACATGCAAATCAAGTACCTGGTCCTTCATAATGCTTTTCTACTATTTCCAAAGTCCTGTGACTTCTACCTTTTCTTAATTCATGGTATTCACAAACTACTGCTCTAAAAATAGCAAGTAAGGCACTCTTTTATATTACTGTATTTATTGCTCTTCAATTCATCATTTAACTTTCCACTTGACAGTAAACTTTATCTTCCCAAATAAACTATGACTTCTTACAAGTACCTGGACTATCTTTCAAACGTTATCTTACACATGGTAGAAAGTTAAAAAAAAAAAAAAATGATAGTTTTTTCATTATGGGATACCAACAACTGTGGAGTTCTTTTCCCCTTTCCTGGGTTATACATTCCATTTCCTCCCTAGCTTAGTCCAGCAAACAATATCTACAACTAACACTAATGGTCTTTAAAGATATTGTACTTTTGGGGTACTCAGGTGGCTCAGATGGCTAAGCATCTGCCTTCAGCTCAGGTCATGCTCTCAGGGTCCTGGGATCGAACCCCACATTGGGCTCCCTGCTCAACAGACTGTCTGATTCTCCCTCTCCCTCTGCACCAACCCCCCCCCCCCCCCCGCCCAGCTCGTACTCTCTCTTGCTCTCATAAATAAATAAAATCTAAAAAAAAAAAGATACTATCTTTTCTTGGGGTGCCTGCGTGTCCAACTCTTGATTTTGGCTCAGGTCATGATCTCAGGATGGTGAGATAGAGCCCCATGCTGGGCTCTAAGCTCTGTGAGGAGTCTGCTTGAGGATTCTCTCTCTCCCTAGGCGCCTCCCCACTGTGCACACCCACGTACACGCTCTTTCTTTCTTCAATATCTTTTTTAGAATTTTTTAAAAAATAAAGATACTGTAGGGACACCTGGGTGGCTCAGTTAAGTGTCTGCCCTTGGCTCAGGTCATGATCCCAGGGTGCTGGGATCGAGGCCCGCATCAGGCTCCCTGCTCAATGGGGAGCCTGCTTCTCCCTCTGACCCTCCCCCTGCTTGTGCTCTCTCTCTCTCTGACAAATAAATAAAATCTTTAAAAAATATTTACAAATAAAGATACTGTAATTTAATCATCACCAACCTCACCCTAATTCTGCTATCCAAATGTAAATAAAAGATAGAAGCCTCCATCATCTCCTTTACTTTAAAAGACATAATTACTAATTTCCTTTGTATCCACCCAGACATATGAGAGAAGAACTGAAGATATCACAATTTATTTTTTTAAGATTTTATTTATTTATTTTATTTATTTATCTAAGGGTAGATGATATAGTTAATTATTCTCTCCACTTGCGGACATTTAAAAAATTAATTAAGAAAGATTAAAACCCCACAACTCACTTTTGGAGAAGCTCAACCTGAACTTAAGAATATTTTGGGGAGAATAAGTTGAAAAATCAGATTTAAAAGATATTCTAAAATCTGAAATCCTTTTAAATGTTTAGAACATTTTATATTAATTACTTTTCTAAATTATCTATTCAGCTTGTCCAAAAATAATGGTTACCAATTTCTTATACAGAGCTTCCAGTTTTTGCTTTAGGAAATAAGCATAATAATGAGAAAAGTGAGCACCTGGATGGCTCAGTTGGTCAAGCATCTGACTCTTGACCCAGCTCAGGTCTTGATCTCAAGGTTTTGAGTTCAAGCCCACATTGAGCTCCATGCTGGGTGTGGAGCATACTTAAAAAAAAAAAAAAAATGAGAAAAGAACACTACCTTAGGACTCTAAAGGTATAGATCCTTTTAGAGTTCTGCCATTTATTGGCTGCATTTCTTTGAGCAAATTATTTAACCTTTCCAAACCTCAGTGTCTTCATTCAGGAAACTAAGAAGAAGAATATCTGCCCCATATATTTTACAGATCACTCTATCATATGAGAAAACACGCAAAAATGCTAAGATACTAAATCTTTTCACTACAGAATAAATAAAACCTTTACTGAAAGAATTTGTTAGATTTTACTGATAGATACAGGCTTCTCAGACTTTTTTTCTTTAATATGACTTTAACACAGACAGGTAACATTTTTCATTATGTATGCAAAAAAGGGGCAACTAACTCTGTTCTACTTAGAAGGGGTCATAATATTTTTTAAATGTTTGAAACTAAGCATTTCTAAAGAGAATATTTTTAAAGAACATGTCATTTTGATGTGACTAGAAAATGAAACAGAAATCTAACAAATTAATAAAGCACTTCAAAACAGTGCCTGGCACACAGTAAGAACTACTACATGTCCTTTTTTTTTTTTAATTCCAGTACAGTTAACATACAGTGTTACATCAGTTTCAGGTGTACAATATAGTGATAAAAATACGGAGTGCTTCACAAATTTGCATGTCATCCCTGAGCAGGGGCCATGCTAAATCATCTCTATATTGTTCCAATTTTAGTACATGTGCTGCCGGAGCGAGCACAAGAACTATGTCTTACTAACAATATTACTATTATTGCTATTGACAATTAACTTTAATGATATATCATAAAAAAAACACTGTATTCAATATGCTAAGTTTCAAGTACTTATCATTAAGAATTTAAAAGAATTTAAAATATCAGGCACCTGGGTGGCTCAGTCGTTAATAGTCTGCCTTTGGCTCAGGTCATGATCCCAGGGTCCTGGGATCCAGCCCCGCATCGGGCTCCCTGCCCAGCGGGAAGCCTACTTCTCCCCCTCCCACTCCCCCTGCTTGTGTTCCCTCTCTCGCTGTGTCTCTGTCAAATAAATAAATAAAATCTACAAAAAATATATATATATTCTACAGTTTAAAGGAAGTTTTACATATAGCATTTATATCACCATTTTCCATTAATCATATTTTATACACACTTCTCACAACAGAAATCTCACAGGAAGCATGAGTTCACAGTGGCAACCCCTCCTTAGAACACTCCTCTAAGGAAATTCTCTTTTGAGTTCTATAAACCATCCGTCCATAATTAAATACATAACCAGGTCAGTTTCTAAAAAATATCATTGTAAATACATATTTGTGTTCTCCAACCAGAATCTGAGTTCAAACCAAACTAAGTACAATGAGGCAAAAGTATTTCCATATACTGCATATTAGTAATATTTGGGGAGTTAGCATTTTCATTCCAAGCAGAGAAACATACAAGTAAAAAAAAAAAAAGCCTGGAAATGGGAAGAAATGGGTAGAATTTGGGAGGAAGAAGAGAAGTTACAAGAGATAGGGCTGGAAAAGTCAGAAGTCAGATCATTAACAATCTTGTAAGAAATTATCATTTTGAAATTTTCCCTGAGTAAATGGGAAATCAGTCATTTAAGTACTTTAAGTTTGGGAATAATAGGATTAGATCTGCATCTTGGTTTGGTTGGAGAGTAGAAAATGGATAGGAGGCTAGGAAAGAACAATGGGGAAGAGAATACTGCAAGAACCTAAGAAAAATGTGATGATCACTTGAAGTGGGAAAGTAGCAGTCAGATGAGAGAGAAATTAATCATATGATGGAGGTAACACTGACAGAATCTAGTGATACTGAATGCGAAGTCAAAGATGACAGAAACCCAAATAGCCAGATTTCTGGCTCGATCCAAGCCAGATGGATAGTGGAATCACTAATCATAGGAAATGAAGAAGATCTGAAAGCAAAGGGGGAAAAAATAATGTTGTTGTAAATATGCTGATCTTGAAGTATCTGTGGTATATCTGAGTGGAGATGCTTAGTAGTTAGCTAGCTGATGTATGAGCCTAAGGCTCAGAGGCAAGCTTTCAGGTGGAAAAATGGAAATCATCAACATACAGATGATAAAGAAAATCCTAGAAATAGACACAAGCTTAAGAAGAAGGCAAAGAGGGCACCTGGGTGGCTCAGTTGGTTAAGCGACTGCCTTCGGCTCAGGTCATGATCCCGGAGTCCTGGGATGGAGTCCCGTATCGGGCTCCCGGCTCGGCAGGGAGCCTGCTTCTCCCTCTGACCCTATCCCCTCTCATGCTGTCTCTCTCTCTCTCTCTCAAATAAATAAATAAATAAAATCTTAAAAAAAAAAAAAGAAGAAGGCAAAGAATGAATAAAAATAATAAGAATCCCATTTAGCAGAGAAAGAGAAAACAAAGGAGCCTGAGAGAAACAGCTAGAGATGCTCGGAGTACTGTCATAGAAGCCAAGAGAGCAATTTGAGAAGTGTCAAGTATTTCTGAACATTCGATAAGATGATAGTTTTAGCAGCAAGGAAATAAGCATGATTTTGAAGTAAGCATGTTAGTGATGGGACAGGATGGGAGGGAGATTATAGTGTACTGAGGAGTGAACAGAAAATGAGACAGCAGAGTTTGTTTTGCTGGTGAGGGGAGGGGCAAAAGGTAGAAAGAATTGAGATTTCTTTCTAGGGGTCATTTGGTTATTTGTTTTAGGTGATACATTTGAACAAGTTTAGCCAAATGAGAAAGAATCCAAATTAAGAAAAAGATGAAAGACAAACAGAATTAATCAACAGAAGGAGAAAATGAGATCCAAAGCACAGTTGGAGAATTAACCTGAAACAGAATGATGGACACCTCATCCACTGAAACAGAAGGAAAAGTAAGAACAAATGGTACAGAAGAGATAAACTAGTGAGTCAAGTAACAGGAAATTTAAGGGATCTCCTTTTGATGGCTTCTATTTTCTCATGAAGTAAGAAGACCATCTGTGGAGCATACTTTGCTCAAAGAAAGAAAAGAATGTTTAAAACAGACCCTATGGAAAATGACAGATTTGCTCTGCCACCCTGAAAGCTCTTACAAGAAACAGACCAGGAATTCACAGTACCACTAATCTGGGTAGTAATTTTTTTCTCCATCAGTGCTCAATGAAGACCTTTTGTATAGGCCAGACAAACTGATCCAAAATTTAGGTGCAAATGCATAGGATAGATATTCAATAGGGCAAGGAAACAGAATTCTGGCAAGAAGTCTGAATGGACAATGGATTCTTGCCTGCTTATACAGGAAGCATTTGGTGAAGAGAGGTGTCAAGGAACTGCAGATCTCAAAAGCATCAACGAATAGGTTTAATAAAAGGATAAGAGCTCAGGAACAAGATGTTTGAATAAACGATCTCAAAGGTAAAGCTGATTTCAGGTAATGGTAAGGTCCAAAGTAGTTTCATGGGAGTAAGTAATTGAGTTAAGTGAAGATCTCCACTAGAGATGAGGAAACTGTGAAGCCAGGGTCCTGGGTACTCTGTTCATATAAACACTGAATTCACCTAGAACTATGGCACAACCTTGCATGGAAAGGAAGTCTATGAGTCAGAAGTCTATGTCTTCAATGAGCAAGCAGAGATGTATATCCCAACTACGTGAGACTCAGCAACGGGAATTTTAACAGGAAAGTTTTATAGGCACTGTAGTGCAAAGTAAGAAGGAAACCACTTCCTATATTTTCCTACAACTGGGATCTGTAGAGAATAAAGGAAGGTACAAGCTCCACTAGAGAAGGCTTTCCCTTAGGAGGAAGACAGGTGGTGTTACTTAAAGATAAAAGCAACATTCAGTAAAGAATTTGAAGATGCAAGTGATTATGTTTAACCTTAGAACAAGGGTAAAAAATGTCTGAAAAGGAGGGGAAGAATAGGTGAGGGAACAAGAATGAAAAGAGATGTGTATAATGACTTGCATCTTGAGCAGGAAAAGGCAATAATGTGATTAGATCTGGTGGGATCACTTCATGGGAAGATGGTTAAGAGGACAGGTTTCAAGAGTTCTCTAAAAGAAAAGACACCGCATCTCTCGGGAGTTAGCCGGTGCCTGCAACTGGAAAAGTCTATGTCTAATGTGTCATAAGAGTCATAACTCTTTGGAAGGAGCCAAATGAAGTTTGGATAATTTATATTGGTTTAAGGCTACATGCTAAAACTATTAGGCAAAAGCCCCATTAGTTAGGCTTGGTCTGTAAGAACTGAGAAAAGCTCGCCATCTATCTTAGATAGTAGAAATCAATATTCATCCTTGACCATAAATAACTGTTTGGAGCTGCGCTGTTTCACAATACCTAGTAGGGTATGATAAAGAATAAAAATATCTCATTAGCCAAATAAGACATTCCTCCTTTAGACTTAATTCTTCATTTGTAAAATAAAGGGGTCTACTAGAACCATTACCATTAAGAGCCAACCCTCCCCCTCCTCCAAAAAAGAAGGCAGCAAACCTTACACAGGCTCCCAGTTGGGAATCAGACTAACCATTTAATAAAACTTCCTAAACAAACACTAAATGCAATAGGCTCTGTGCTAGTCACTGGGCAGAGACATAAAAATGAATACTACGTAACTATATGAGGTGATGAATGTTAACTAAACTTATTGCGGTAATTATTTTGCAATATACTTAAGTCCAGCCATTATGTTGTATACCTTAAACTTATACAGTGCTGTACATCAATTATATCTCAAACTAAAAGGAAAAAAAAGAAAATACCTTTAAAGCATGTATGCCCTGTTACCCTAAAAAGTAGGTTTTAGTTCCCAAATTTCCAATAAACCATGATATAAGTTAGAAAAATAATGACTACTACATGGTCACAACCATAGGGGAGCTCCTGGTCTGGTATATAATAAGTAAATAATCATAACACATAATGATTCTAATCACTTACAACAGAGAGTACTATGAAAACAGAGAAAAGAGTCATTGCCTGGAGTTAGGGAATAGGATAAGTAGGAATTATAGAAGACCTCACAGAGAAAATAAATTTGAGGTGGATCTTTAAAAAGAATTAAAACTATGACTAACAACAAGTGCTCAAGCTCATTAGTAATCAAATACTGAAATGCATATAAAAAATAAAAGGAGGGGCGCCTGAGTGGCTCAGTCGGTTAAGCGACTGCCTTCGGCTCAGGTCATGATCCTGGAGTCCCGGGATCGAGTCCTGCATCAGGCTCCCTGCTCGGTGGGGAGTCTGCTTCTCCCTCTAACCCTACCCCCTCTTGCGCTCTCTCTCTCACTCTCTCTCTCTCTCAAAGAAATAAATAAAATCTTAAAAAAATAATAAATAAATAAAAAAATAAATAAAAGGAGATACTGGCTTTTTTTCATCTATGAGATTGGCAAATAACGTAAAAGGCTGATGATATTTACCTAGCAAAGATAGGGGAATATGTGTATTCTCATCACTATTGGGATTATTTTGGAATTTTAAATGTGCACATGCTTTAACAATCCCATTTCTAGAAATCTACAAAAATATTCACACATATGCACAAAATTAGTAATGTTCACTGCAGCAATGTTTGTAACAGAAGAAAACAACCTAAATGTCTATCAATACTGAAATAATAAAATAATTATGGTCAATCCAGATAATGGAATACTCCCTAAAAGAACCAAGTGAATTATAAATTGTGACTGGATGGCCTCCAAATAAAAAAAAAGCAAATACAAAACAACAGATATGATATAGATGCATTCTGGTTA